TGTCACAGCTCCCTGTGATGTCATCATTGATAGGGACATCATGGCTTTGTTCCTCCTCCCAGTCTGAAAGGGTTACTCAGACAGGACCCGGGGAAGTGAAGTCAGACTGGAGCCTTATCCAGGCTCCAGGTCAGCGAGCTGGGTGGGCTGGACTGGGAGGAGGGGCTGGTGTCTCAGGATTCTCCCCTGGGTGGATGGCCATTTTTGGTGTTGGCTGCTCCAATTATTGGAGAAGGCAATGGCACCCCACTCCAGTACTCTTGCCTGGAAAATCCGTTGGACGGAGGAGCCTGGGAGGCTGTAGTCCATGGGGTGGCTAAGAGTCAGACATGACTGAGTGACTTCACTTTCACTTTTTTGGAGAAGGAAATGGCAACCCACTCCAGCGTTCTTGCCTGGAGAATTCCAGGGACGGGGGAGCCTGGTGGGCTGCTGTCTATGGGGTCGCACAGAGTCGGACACGACTGAAGCGACTTAGCAGCAGCAGCAGCTCCACTTATAGCCACTCCTCCCAATCCAAGGAGGCTCTGGGTTCAGCGGGGGCAGGGGCAGGGGGAGAAATCTCTCATCCCTCAACAGGACGGCTCTGGGTGTCAGCCTCCAGAACAGGACTAGCCTCCTGCTCCTCACAGGGAGGCCTGATCCAGTGGAATAGGGGCCTTACCTCCATCCCTTAAGAAAGCAGCGAGGCAGAGACGGCCTGATGGAGCGACACAGTCAGACCCGCTCTGACCGTCAGACACATCAACTTGCTGACAGTCTGTGCTCACAGCCTGACATCCACACTCTCGCAGGCCAGTAGCCATTCATTCTCACAGCCAACCCCTTGACCACACATGGGCCTCAGAGACATGGTGTCTCACACCGGCATGTGACATAGGCCCACGTTCCAATATAGGAAAGGAGGAGATCCTTTCCTCTCAGGGCTGAGTTCCTAGAAGTCAGCACAGTTCCCAGCACAGAGCAGATGTATATTCACACGTGGTGAGTCAGTGGATATTCACTCACACAGGTCATGTGACCTGGGGTGGGGAGGGACTGGAGGAAACGTTACCAGTCTCCATCCCACGTCAGGACGGGGTGAGAGCATCAGGGAAGAATCGCTGCTGCTTCCAGCACCACCCCTGGCCCAGCTCCTGTGATGGGCACTCCTCAGACAACGCCCATCACTGAAGGGACCTGGGTCAACAGGGCCAGCACTCCCCCCACTCCAGATTCCTGTCCAGTGAATTGGTACTCAGAGCGCTGGATGTTAGGAACCCCAGAGATCTAGACATGAGGTGCTCTGGGCATTTAGAGCCTCTGGATGCTGGGAACTCTAGATTTCGTGTTCGCTGTGGTGTTCAGAGCTCTGGCACGCTTGGCGTTGGGGATCCTGGATTTTGAGAGCTCTAAGGTATTTAGAAATCTGAACACTGAATGCTCTGGACATCAGGGCTGTATCCCAGACAGGCCAAAGTCAATGGTTCCAATCTCTCCTTCTAATTTTATCTGCAGCTGTTGAGATCCAGCCTGGGCCCCTGCTCTGATTCCTGTAATTGGCTCATGCTGCCCCCCTGGACCAGCGCCAGAGTAAGCACAGCAGGATGGCCTGAAGGGCACCTGGAGCCCCAGAGGCAGCTCTTGTTTCTGGAACCAACCTAGATCCCTCCCTTGCATTGGGACAGGATAGGGAAGGTGCTAGGCACTGACCACTAGGCTTTCAAGGGAGGAAGAATCTGAGAGCAGAGCCCAGGTGGGTTTCTGCAGCTCCTGAGGCTGGGGCTTCAAGCCTGGTCAGGCCAGGCTGTACCTCAAAGCAATGGCCACACTGCCCCCACTTCTTCGCAGGGTCTCCCCGCACCCCTCCACCAAGTGCCAGTGCCGCCAGCTCCTATAGTGCCTTCCAGAAGTGCCCACCCTGGCCTGATTCCTCATCCCACCAGACACAACCTGAGCACACTCTGGGCCACTGACAGAGGCCTTGCTTCTTCGGGCTGATGATGACACGTGAAACCAGTCAGCACCAGGGCATCTGACGTGGACCCAGGCCTCCCAGGAAATAGCACTGCAATGGGAGGCTCCTCAGACATGCCTCAGACCACAGTGGGTGGGGCCCGGCTGCTGCCTGTCCTCTTGCTGCCCTGCCCAGGAAGAAGCCAACCAGTGAGATGTCTGACCCCATTGGTCCTCCCCTCTGTCCTCTGGCCTGAGCGCCCTCCTCTCTCCACGATGGCTCAGGCTGGCCATGCCCTTCCCATCCTGTGGGCCAGCAGTCTAGGGTGGGAAGCTCACGGTGGGGGTGAAGCCATCTCGGCTCTGACCTGGGCTAGCCCAAAACCTGTCTTCCCTTGGGGCCTTATTCTGTTTGGAAGAAAACAGCCACTTTAGTCTCTGATTCTTGGAGACAGGCGAGTTTTCAAACCAGAATCTTCCTCCTAAGCTTTTCCTCAGGACTCACTTCATTGTGCATCTGCTTGAAGCCATTTCAAGATCAAAATGGGCAAGATGCACAGACCTGTAAATCTCTGTATGTATGCAAATGTACTGTGTGTGATGTCATCATCTAGCAAAACCCATGTGCGCAACATCTCTAACTTTCCCAAATCCCCAGGGAAAATCTATTTCCCCCACCCTATGGGCTAAAGTGTCAGACTGTCTCCCTGTCCAGGGATTCATCCCAAATGCACCTTCTCCCTGACTCAGGACTGAGTCCTGAGCACTCCTCCCCTTCGCTTCTTCCAACCCCAGCCAGTTCCCACACCCCACTTCACATGGAGTCCTTAGTGTGGGGCAGCCCTGTTGGTGCCAGAAGCATCTCTGACACTCAGGGCTCTCTTCTCAGGGACCCCCAGCCCCAGTCTACTCCTTCAAGGGGAATGGAGGCCATTGTCCCACCCTCCTATTCTTCCTTGTCCCCAGTCCACTCCATGGAGGATCTTCCAGCAGCCTCCATCCTTCTTCCCTGTGTGGTGGCCCTTTATGACAAGCCCCAGTGGGAGGGAGGGAGGGAGAGACCAGAAAGAGAATTTATGTCCCAGCAGGAGAGGCAGAGGGAGGGAGGCTTGGATCACAGGGGCCCAGTCCCCAGAGTTGGGCCCACACGCACACTGAGACCCAGGGCTGCTTCAGTGCACAGTCACTCCCCCCAGACACACATCCATCTAGACAAATCCACAAGGGCTGGGGGCATGGGAGCCACAGACTGCTCAGGAAGAGGACACACACCCGTGAGACACCTGCAGTTCGTTCACAGAATACAAATCACAAATAAGCTGCAGAATACGAATCACAAACCTGCAAGGCTGGGGACAGAGGTCAAACAAAATAATCTTGCTGATGAGAAGAACGTCTCCAAATCTTCCTGGCTCTGACCAAGCCTCTAAAGCGAATAGGTTGTAAGTTCTGAGTGTTTGGGCCCTGGAGAAGCCTGGTGGAATGGACTGGTGCTCCTTGGTGGGAAGTGTCTGTGCCTGATACCTGCTATCTCACGCAGAGCCTCTGTAAATTAATAACGAGGAATCTCACTTGTCAACTGATATTGTTTGAGTTTGGCATGTGTGAATCAGCTTCTTGGAGGCTGACTATCCCCTGGGAACAAAGGAAACTGGTTTCCTGGGCAAACAACAGTGAGGACAGACTCAGGGTGCAGAGAAGAGACTGGTCCGCTTCCTGAGCACACGCTGGGGTGACAATAGTCCCCTGACAGCCAGTACTAACTGGTCCTTCTCCTTGAAAGCTGGTGGCCTCAAGACAAGCAAATGTGGGAGCTGCTTTCCACCAACTGCCAAGCTTTGCTGCTCAGAGGCAGCCTGGAGCAATGTGTTTTGTTTCTTTTGTAGGAGAGGAAGCTGAGACTCAGCAAAGCTCTCTTTGGCAAAGTCTCCTTTAGCTAGGATTGGAACCCCCACATGTCTCCCCAGGGCGAGAACAGAGGGCCCAGGTTGGTATCTGCAGCCCTTGTAATACAACAACCCCTGTGTGTGCTAAGTCATTTGAGTAGTGTCCGACTTTTTGTGACCCTATGGACTGTAGCCCACCAGGTTGCTCTGTCCGTGGGACTCTCTAGGCAAAAATACTAGAGTGGATTGCCATGCCCTCTTCCAGAGGATCTTCCCAGCCCAAGGATAGAACTCCAAGCAGTGTAGGTGTGACCAAACCAGTGAGAGGGTCCGTGGAGAAAGGACCCCCAGCCCTCCAGTTCCAAGGAGTAGGACCCAGGCCTTACCCAGCCATGCCCACAGCCCCCAGCAGCGCTGATCCAAAGGGCATGAAATTTGTTCAGTCTTCTCTTTCGGGGGAAGGCAGGCACAGAAGGCCGGGGCCTGGAAGGCTAACTCCAGCCCCAGTCCCCCAAGTGCCCCAGGCCTTTCTGGCTTCATTCCAGCCTAGCCCCAGGGGACCACATCTGCTTCCTCCTAGGAGGGCAGTGAGGATGGGGCGGAGCAGGGAGCTCCCTTGCGGAGCCCACTCCCTGTGGTTCATGGGGTTCAATCCTTGGAAAGCTTGGAGTAACTTGTAAATTTATTCCCTGGGAGGAGGAGTCTGATGGTGCCGATGAGAATGGGGTAGGGGGTGGTAGGGGTGGGCAGGGCGGCCAGGGGAGCTGCTGGGAGAGGAGAGGGACTTGGCTAGGTTCCCAAGCCTTCTTCACTCTCCAAACTTTCTCCAAACTCTTGCCCCATCCCCCACCGCCCAAAACCAAAACACAACAAGCTCAGGAGGAGCGACAGGCAGCGCCGCGGGGCGGGCAGACTCGCAGCCGCAGAGCCTCAAGGGGCTGATGGAACTTTCCCTTTAAGAAAGTCACCTGGGCTCAGGGCGCGGCCGCTGCTGGGAAGCGGGCCAGGGGAAGGGGGCGCTGCAGCCCGAGCCTCTCTCTATCCTTCGGTCAGTCTGGGTGTTTCGTGGCTCCACGGGGCTGAGCCTCAGGAAGAGCGAGAGAGCCAGCGAGCGAGTGTGTGTGTGGGATCGAGGATGCACGCGGGCATCTGTGGATGAGTGTGGGGACACGCGTGGGGATGTCTGTCTCACCAGAAATGTTGGGTACGTGCGTTCGTCTCGGTATCACCGCGGTCACCAAGGAGCTGCAGCAGGCGGGCGAAAAGACTGTGGCGGGGGGCGGGAGGCTGCTCCTAGAGGCGGGGCGCGCGTGCCGGCGAAGGTTGGGCCCCCTGCGGCGGGCGCACAGCACTCTGGGTAGCGCGGGAACCAGCGTGTCCCTTTGAGTCGCCGTTTGAGGCGCCAGTTGGGTCTTCGTGCTCGGGGCCTACAGACACCCGGAACCTCCAGGCGGCCTGCCTCCCTATCTGCCCGCTGACTCGCCGGTCGGGTGAGGGTTCCTGCGTGCCCAAAGGTCCTGGGAAGCCGTGCTGTGGAGTCTGGGTGCCCTCGGACCCTTGTCTGTGGCTCCCGGCTTCGAGAAGGGGTACGGCCGCGGTGTTCTCCGGTGGCTGCTCTCCCGGGAAGAATCCGCGCCCTCCCCACCCCAACTGCCATTCTAGTTGCGCTTAGGGCGGGGCGGGCGGCAGTAGATGAGGGTAGGGCCTAGCAGCCCAGGGCGCCCACCTCTACCTGTTGCCCCGCACCCCGCGAGCCGCCCCGGGGGCGGGGTAAGGGGACGGGGACCTGGGCGCGAGGGTATTTTCAAGGCAGGGGCCTGGGGCGGCGTAACCGCCCCCCGACCAGCTGAGAGGCCCACAGTAGCGGTTGACCTAATGGCCGCTCCCGACACTTCGCACCCGGATTAAGTCAAAGGCACGCTCCGAGGAATCGGGGCTCTCCAGGTGGTGCTACAGCTTCGAAAGCGCCCCCGCCTTTTCCTGTGGTTCAGGGGCCTCTTCTCAGCGGACAGGCTGAAATATATATGGGGGGGGGGGGAATAAATAGGCGGGGGGGGGGGGAGATGTATAAAGTTGAAGCGTGAAATAAAGGTTATGTCCTGTGACCATTGACTGTGATGCCTGTGCCTACCATTATGGTGATGCTCAAGATGCAGTTAAGTCCAGCTACAATTCATGCTCCGGGTGGCCTCAGATGGCCATAGCTGAGTCCAAGCATCCCCCCCAAAATTAAAAATACCCAATGTATGACACCACAGTTTGAGCATGGCCTGATTAGTCACTAGTCCATCGAGATGTCTTATTTAAGGGGAAAGAATGGGCGATTTTAGATGAGATGGCCCTGAAGAAAGAACCAGATGTCTGATAAAGTTCATTAAATAGTTACCCCCACAAGTTGTGGGCCCGGAGCGAGAAGAGGGATCCCTGCCGAGAGGGTTGTTGGTTTCACGCGGCATGGAGATTAAGCTCGTGATCTAGGGGACGGGATATGCATGTTGACAAGGACGGATTTGACTTAATGTGCTATGTACAATCAATGACTACATGTACTGTGTACTATTAATAATAGCATGTACATGCTTATAAGCATGGGGCATATAATATAATGTACTATTATACATAGATATGCCCTAATACATTAATTTTATGTACTATACACGCATGAAGTAGCATTATGTATATTGCTATGCATAAAGTGTGTAATTAATGATGTGTTGAGTATAGCGTGGCTGTTGAGTGCAAAACTGTTGAATTATTAAAGGTTTTAGAAAATTTAATACTGATAAGGCTCTTGATTTTTGTGGAGCTATATTAATAATGTTTCAGGGAATAGTTTAAATAGAACTTCAGCTTTGGGTGTTGATAGTGGGGCTATGGTTTCTTCCTTGAGTCTTAGGGAGGTTAGTTGTTCTTTTCTGGTTTATAAGACCAGAAGACTTGTCTTCATTTCAGGAGATTATTTTCGATTATGCTGGTAACTGGTATGAGTATTAGAATAATGAGGAAATATAAGATAGATGCTAGTTGTCCGATGATGATGAAGGGGTGTTCGACTGGTTGTCCTCCGATTCATGTGTTAGTAGGTGTGCTACAAAAATTCAGAACAGGCATTGATTGCATGGTTGGAATATCATGCTTCATTGTTTAGATGTATGGAGTAGGGGTATAAGAATTAGAAGTAAGATAGAGAAGATTAGGGCTAGAACTCCTAATTTATTGGGAATTGATCATAGAATTGCATATGCAAATAGGCAGTACCATTTGGGTTTAATATGAGGGGGTGTATTGAGTGGGTTTGCTGGAGTGTAGTTATCTGGGTCTCCGAGCAAGTCTGGTGTGAACAGTACTAATAGTATTAGGAAAGGAACTAGAAGTAGGACACCTAGACTATCTTTGATGGTATAGTAAGGGTGGAATGGGATTTTGTCTGCATCTGATGGGATTCCTGTTGGATTATTGGATCCTATCTCATGGAGGAAGAGTAAATGGACTGTGGCAAGCACTGTGATGATAAATGGGAGAATAAAGTGGAAGGCAAAGAATCGAGTTAGGGTTGCTTTATCTACTGAAAAGCCCCCTCAGATTCATTCGACCAGGTTTGTGCCAATGTATGGAATTGCTGAGAGGAGGTTGGTGATGACTGTTGCTCCTCAGAATGATATACAAATGCTGTGGCTATCACTGTGAATAGAAGAATTACTCCGATGTTTCATGTTTCTAGGAAGGTGTATGACCCATAGTATAGGCCTCGCCCTACATGTATAAATAGACAGATGAAGAATATTGATGCTCCGTTTGCATGTATGTATCGGATAATTCAGCCATAATTGACGTCTCGGCAAATATGAGTGACGGAAGAGAATGCTGTTATTGTGTCGGATGTATAGTGTATTGCTAGGAATAGGCCTGTTAGGATTTGTAGAATTAAGCAGATTCCTAGCAGGGAGCCGAAGTTTCATCATGATGAGATGTTTGATGGGGCTGGGAGGTCAATGAATGCGTTGTTTACCATTTTTATTAGTGGGTGAGATTTTCGAATGTTGGTCATTAGTGTTCTTGTAGTTGAATGACAACGATGGTTTTTCATATCATTAGTCGTGGTTAGATTCCATGCAGGAATAATGATAGCATACATTGTATTTATTTTAAGTATCATTTTTGTGCTTGGTTTTGTAGGATTTTCTTCAAAACCTTCACCTATTTATGGGGGATTGGGTTTAATTGTGAGTGGTGGGGTTGGTTGTGGTATTGTATTATGGGTCTTTCTTGGGTTTAATAGTATTTTTGATTTATTTAGGGGGAATAATAGTAGTTTTTGGTTATACAACGGCCATGGCTACAGGGCAGCATCCTGAGATTTGGGTCTCTAATAAGACTGTTTTAGGGGTGTTCATTACTGGTATATTAACGGAGTTTTTGATAGTTTATTATGTGTTGAAGGATGAGGAAGTGGAGATTGTGTTTAAATTTAATGGTTTAGGGGATTGAGTTATTTATGATACAGGGGATTCTGGGTTTTTTAGTGAGGCGGCTATGGAAATTGTGGCTTTGTATAGTTACGGTATTTGATTAGTTATTGTGACTGGTTGATCTTTGTTAATTGGTGTAGTAGTTATTATGGAGATTACTCATGGAAATTAAATAGAACTGTACTGATGATAATTGTGACTAGGAAAGAGAAGAAATATAGTTTGATCAAGCCTTTTTGCCTTGTGACTATGGTTGATATTTTTATTTGGATAAGTGATGTTGTTTTTGGTAAGATATTTTCTACTCAGATTAAGTCTAGGAGAGAGAATGCTGATTTTTGGCTTATTATTAAATATATGTAGGGAGTGAGGTGATGTATGATCGTAGGAAAATATCCTAGTATATTGGGGAATTTGAAGGCATTTGATGGAGAATTAAATTTTAGGTTTTGGGTTATGTTACTAATTTCTAGTGCTAGAATAAAACCTAGGATTGTTACTGCTAAGGCTATTATTTTTAGATAGTAGGGTATTGTTATTTGGGGGATAGTTGTTGGAGGAATATTGTTGGAAATAATGAATCCTGCAAAAAGCCTTCCTATTATTAGACGTTGGATGGAGTTTATTAGAAAGGGATTATTTTCATTGATAATTACTAAGGTTGGAAATCGAGGTTGTCCTAGGAGTGCAAAGAAGATAATGCGAGTGCTGTAGATGGCTCTGAAAGAGGTGGCAATTAATGTTATTAAGAGGGCTCAGGCGTTGGTGTACGATGTGTTAGCGGCTTCAATAATCAGGTCTTTAGAGTAGAATCCAGTGAGGAAAGGCATTCCTGTTAGTGCGAGGCTACTGATGATTAGGGCTGTTGTGGTAAATGGCATGGCTTTAAATAGGCCTCCTATTTTTCGGATATCTTGTTCATCATTTAGGCTGTGGATAATAGAGCCGGAGCACATGAATAGTATAGCTTTGAAAGAAAGCATGGGTGCAAATGTGGAGAAATGCTAGGTGGGGTTGGTTAATGCCAATTGTTACTATTATAAGGCCTAGTTGACTGGATGTAGAAAAAGCAACAATTTTTTTTATATCATTTTGGGTGAGGGCACATATTGCTGTAAATAGAGTGGTAATAGCTCCTAGGCATAATAGGACGGACTGTGCAAATTTGTTCTCTGTTAGTGGGTGAAAGCGGATTAATAGGAAGATGCCTGCTACTACTATTGTGCTTGAGTGGAGTACTGCTGAGATGGGGGTAGGGCCTTCTATTGCGGAAGGTAGTCATGGATGTAAACCAAATTGGGCAGATTTTCCGGTTGCAGCTAGTGCGAGGCCTATTAGGGGTATGTTGGAGTCACTTGGATTTAATATAAAGATTTGTTGAAAGTCTCAGGAGTTCAGATGAATGAGAAACCATGCTATTGCTAGAATGGAAGCGATGTCACCGATGCGGTTATATAGAATTGCTTGCAGGGCCACTGTGTTTGCATCTGCTCGTCCATATCACCATCCAATGAGTAGGAATGATATAATTCCAACGCCTTCTCAGCCAATAAATAATTGAAATAGATTATTTGCGGTGACGAGAATGAGTATGGTAATGAGAAATAAGAGAAGGTATTTAAAAAATTGGTTGATATTAGGGTCTGAGTGTATATATCATATTGAAAATTCTGTAATGGATCATGTGACAAACAATGCTACTGGGACAAATATTATCAAGAAATAGTCTATTTTAAAGCTAAGTGATAGTTTGACAGTTTGAATTGTGAGTCAGTGACAGTTTGAGATAATTATTTCTTGGCCTGTGTGAATGAATATTATTGTGGGAATTATACTAGTGATGAAGGCACATGAGATGGTTGTTTTTACGTAAAGTGGGTAGTTAGAGGTCTTGTAATTGTCAGAGCTTGTAATTATGATGGGGATAGTTAGTAAAAATAGGGTAACTAGTGTAAAGGAAGAGAATAGGTTTATTACTTTTATTTGGAGTTGCACCAATTTTTTGGTTCCTAAGATCAACGGATTACTACCATCCTCTAAAAGTTCGAAAAAGCCATGTTGTTATACATGGGAGCATAGAATTAGCAGTTCTTGCATACTTTTTCAGTAAATAAGAA